GTGGTGCTTGCACCATACATCTGAGCTCGGAACCAATTCGTTCGACATGTGCATTTGACGCAGTCATCCACGTGGGCTCTACAGCGCGACGTGTTAAAGTACCGGAAACGACAACCTGAGGTATTATCGCGCCATAACGCATGTATCGCTTCGTTTTCTTGATGCTGCTGGGCAGAGAGTGATCATCTAGCCATATCACTAATTGTGACATGATCCTGTCACGATTATTCCGCCAGTAGGACAGCATACGGGCGATCTTCAGCACCTCCGCGGCGCTGACATCCAATCCGGCGAGTACATTCTCGGAGAACTTGTTGAGGAAGTCCTTAGCGAGCGGATTTCCGACGTTGAAATTGGCACCATCCTTGTGTGGCAGCTTGAAGAAGTAGCAGCAGTTGTCGATATCGATGTTGCACCACACACCGGTGCCTTTATATATTTCATCGTATAATTTGTTCTGCTTCTTTTTAAGTCGCCAGAATTCCGTCTTGTGAAGATCATTTTGCACGTCGGTGCTTAAGGTAGCCATCGCGTCATCGGAACTATCCCTAGATGGGCTGGGTGCTGGCAAAGGACACTGTGCCAAAAGATTCTCCAACGGTAGTTTGGTCTCAGGATTGTTCTTGTAAGGTACTAGAATTCCCCAACCATGATCCTTTATATAATGCAATGGATACTTCTCCCATGTCAGATTCAACAACTTTGGAACTACCTGCATGGAAGTGCTAATATTTTGTGGACCTGGTTCCCAGTCTTTGTCTTCGCTTTGCTTAGGACAGAGTTTCCTGTACCAGGCTGGATATCCTGGCATGTGCGGCATTCTAGCTGGCAATAAATGCTTAGTTTTCTCCAAATACGCAAATTCCTTTGCTAAAGAATCCTCCTCTTCTTCTTCATCATCTGATAAATATTTAGCATCGGATTGCTCTTTTGCTTTTTCCATTATATCTGTCTCTATGTTAGCAGTTTTTACTTTTGAGATTTTGCTTTTCATCTTAATGTTTTGTGTGCTCCAATCTTGGTCCCACATCCATAAGTCTTTTTTATATTTCTCATTGTGCATAAGATGACAAACAGTATCGGCTCTCTTAGCGAGAGTGAATTTCGCTTCGTAATTTAAGTCGTCAAAAGTCGACTCTGATTCCTCCAAGTATCTTTGCCAATTGGAATTCACTGGTAAATATGCTGAGCTGAGTTCCAGCATTCCTGCCAAAGTAACTGGATGAGGGAATCTTTCTTGAAAGAGTGGGAATAGTTTGCATAGTATATTGTGAGTAGCAACTACATCGGAGGCACAGTAAGACATCAGCATATTGAAATTATCTTTAATATCTTCAATAGTACCTTCAACAAATAAATCTCTTCCCTCTTTACTTATCTCATAGCCACAGTATAACTTATGCACTTCTACCAAACTATTCAATGAAGTGGTAGACTGCCAGATCTCCTTTTCCATATCTGCTTTTTTAGATATTAATAATGATCTTTGGTAGCTGTTGAGACCACTGACACATACATGTAATGACATAGTATCAAGGAAACGAGTTCCCGTGGAATTCAACCAATACTGCTCCTTAATTCTACTTCTATCATACGACACATTGTGACCTACAATAATCTTTGGTTTCTTTTGATGCTGATTCAGTCTCTGTCCATATTCCTCTTTACTACTCTCCATAGAAATAAGAATACTTGGTGTAAACAATTGTGTGTCAAATGTTTGACTAATACTTTGTGCCAAGGAATTTGATACCCAACTGTACCAGGCTTTATTACTAACCGCCGTGGCTAGAGTAGGTAAAGAACCCTGCTTCATACAAACCTCAACATCGAAAATGACACCATTTTCTAAAGGATAATCTATGCTTTCTGCTATACCATCTGCTGTATATCTAGTCCAGCCTTCTTTGAAGAGCCATTGTGTCGGCATTTTGGGAATATCGTTCATAATATCACTTATGATTTTTAAATATGGCTCAGCTTGCGCCTTTCCAATATTATAAAAATGTTCCTCTATATCTTTTCCTTCCAAAACTGGTAGTTTCAAATTCACATCTGGCAACCTGGTTGCATCCTCTACATTTATACTGTATGTGATTAGATTTTTCTTTATGCTGTCGACTTCCTCTTTAGACAGACAATTTTCTTTATCATCTTTTCTGAACAATTGCTGATGTAGTACTTTAGGTAACATTTGCATATTTATTTCATTAACTCTAACATTATTGTTTTTCTTATTCGCATTTGAATCAATATTTGTGCTATTTTTTGATTCCCTCAATTCTTCGGATTTATTTTGTTGTAATTGTTGATCCAATTCAGTTACTTGCATGTTTATATTATCTGTACTTTTATTGTTAGATTTTATACCAGAATTTATATTCTGCTCTGTTGTCGATTTCTTTGATATTTGTATGTTAACATTCAACTTGCTTGGCACTTTCTCAGACTTTGCAAATAATTTGTGATAGTCCTCAAAATTAACGGGTATCGCAGGTGAATTGTGAAGAGAGTTTGTAGTTAATTTGTCGTCCTTAGAGGTTAAGTTTTCTGGATTGGATTTTTGAGAATTCTTCAAACGAACCCTCTTCCACTGAATCTTAGAAAGATGAATGCCGTCCTGTGCGTTGGTATATTTGTACCGAATGCAAATGTTAATCAAGCAAGTCCTCAGTCTCATCTTTACCATCACTTTGTTCAATACCATTGGGCTATAATGAGACACGTGCTTCGACAGCCGGGACTGTCGAAACACCGTGCATATTACGAAGATATTTCTGAATTTTCAATTAAATAAAAAAAAAAACGAAATCTTACCTAATCGCACTAAATTAGGCAAACTGCGTTTTCTCAGGAAGAATAATAGTTCGAGTTTTGCAAAATTGTGCTTTTGACGAAGTAAACATCGCACATATATTCGAAAGATGCCTTGGTGCTTGGTTTGGTGCTTCTTGTCTGAAATTAGGCGTTTTCAAGCAGGTTTGCCATCCTGTTCCAATTCTCCGAATGTAACCTAACTTTAAATACATCATTATATCGTTTTCTCATTGTTCAATTTATCTAAAAAAAAAAAAAACTTTTTTCTTCTCTCAGAAGAAATGACAAATTCCATAAAATTATATTTCGATGAATTAAAGTCATCAAGTGTTAAGAAATTAGTGCACCAAGTACAATAAAGTGCACCTCGTATCTGAAAGTAGGCATTTTTAGAGGCGGCATTCTTAGATTGGCTATCCTATTCCAGTTTTAAACGAGTAACTTCAACGCAAAGCCGCCATATTACACTTTCGATCACGCGATTTTGAAAATCAATAGTGGACGCACCTCATGCTTTCTATTTTTAATTACAACTTTCTCTACCATAATTATACGAATAATGTGTGAAATGAGTACAAATAATGAAATTAATATATAAACACATTAATTGACTAATTAATATAGTATCCATAGTTCACTGAGAAAAGCCAGTCGCGATAGAGCAAGCATAATAAAAGCGGCTTATACATAATAAATTCGAAAGATATGCTTTACACAAATTATACATGAATTTATTATATATATACACACACACACACACACACACACACACACACACACACACACACACACACA